GAGGGGCAGGGAGCGCTCAGTGATTACAATAGTCACCCGCTGGAAGGAGCAGCTCGACTTGACTCGATGCCCACAGCCTGGCTCCCAGGTGAGGGGGAAGCAAGCAGCTGTGAGGAGGGCCTGTGGAGGCTGGCTCGGGAATGGAGAGGGAGGCTGGTCCCCTTGAGGCCAGCCAAGGCCTCTAAGGGAGGCTTTGCAGCTTGATCGCCCACCCACGATGAAGAGGGGACTTGCTCCCAGAGAAAGGTGTTGGGGGGTCTGCCCAGGGCCAGGCAGGAGATAGGCCAGACCCAGGGACTGTCCCAGGACTGTCGTGACTGAGTCCCCCCCCCTGCGTGGGCTTCCGTGGGCTTGCTCCAGCATCCAAGCAGGTGCTTCCTCACCGTCTCACAGTGACAGGGTGGGTGCTGTTATTAGCTGAAGCTCCGGGTGAGTTGGTGACCTACTGGAGGCCACACGCTGGTGTCAGAGAACAGCCTCAGCTATGGAGCGCTGGGGTTTGAATTCAGACAATCTGACTCCAGAGCTCAGGCCTATGATAGCGACACTGACTGCCTGGCCCTGCACAGGAAGGGGCTCTGGCCCAGGCACGGCTGTACGTTCATCTTGAGGGGCAGGGGGACAGATCAGCAGAAAAGAAGCCACGTTATCAGCCCCTCACCTCCTCCTCCCTCGGGGCATTCCGAGGGACTTCGCTTCCAGACTCTTGTCATGAAGAGGCCAGGACATTCCCACACTCCCGATAGCCCATGCTGAAGTGGCATGGAGTAGGCCACGCAGCGGGACAATCCCTTCAAGGGGGTTTAGTAGCCTGAGGAGCTGCGAGGTAGGAAGTGTCCACCCTCCTGTCCTGAGGACATAGAGAGGACGCCCTTACATTGTGGTGGGGAAAGGGAGGACCCTGCTCTGGTCTTGGGGTCTACTGGGGGTCAAAGCTGGGCTGTGGAGGCCCTTAGACCAGCTGGGCGAGTTTCTGGCTTGGTCAGACGCTGGGCCCCGTGTGATGGGAGCCCTAGGGGACACATGCAGAGGCAAAGGGTGCAGCCTGGTGGGCAACGCAGGGATCCTGAGGGCCACAGCCATGGCAGCTGGACCACGGGGAATGGCCCAGCAGGGTCCCAGCTGTCTGGCTGCACAGATGCAGAGGACCTAGGTGACAGGCATCCTGGTGTCAGGGCTGGTGAGGCCTGGAAGCCCTCACTGGCAGGCAGCCTTCCTTCCTTCCTTCTTTCCTTCCTTCCTTCCTTCCTTCCTTCCTTCCTTCCTTCCTTCCTTCTTTCCCTCCTTCTTCATTACTTACCAAGCACCTCCAGACGTGCCAGGCCCTGAACTGGGCTTTGGAGTTCTAGTTCCAAAGCTGACAGACATGGTCTATGCCCATGCTGAGCCTCCTGAGCCCCACATGTGACCCTCAAGGCACCCCGAAATCTAAGCGATTTATGTTTTCGACTGGGCCATTGTAAGCCTCACTTGTTCTCTGCCCCGCTCCTGGCCAAGCCTTGAGCTCACGCTTCCACAAGGTCCTCGCCTGCAAGCCTCCCCTCCCTCAGGGCCTGCCACTGGACTTGCCCACTTCCACGTCAGAGCACAGCACAGAGCCCA